TAATAAACATTGAATGAAATGAAAGAGGTATATTCAGAAACTGTGTATTCTTAGATTCTACATCTACCGCTGCCTCTGCATATTATTAACGAAGTTGAATTGTACAAATTCAGCCATGATGCACTAACAGGTCTATTTTAAATTTTTAATTATTGATAACTATTTCGTTTTCAGTCTATATTAACGTATTTGGGTTTGTTTTACACTACTCTATGATGGAATGTATCGTATTGCATGTGTGTGGATGCAGTCAGGATTTCCTGATTAACCTATATTATATGCAATTATTTGTATCTGCATGTGTTTTTGGATGTGTATTTTGCTTCTTGACGTATGTAGAATCAGATGATAGTGCTTGAGAAGAATGTTATCATGATCAGTTCTAGGTTCTAGACGAGACTCTCTCTTGAAAAAGAGTGTGTATATATATATAGGGAGCGGATCTGTGGCACCATGTTTTTTACACAAGAATTGACACAAATTTTAGACCATTAGATTAGCCCACTTTTAATGGTTGTCATGGCAATTAAGGGCCTGTTTGCTATCTAACTTGAGAATGGAATTCAAAATTTTGATTTTTTTTTTAAAACACATGTTTTGATTTAAAAATTTTAAATTCAAAACTTTGTTTGGTATGCAACTTCTCAAACTAATTCAAAACAGGAAAATCAAACACCCAGGCCAGACCGATTTCCCGACCACTGCATCCCTCCCTTCCCTGGCAACCCATTTTGCTATTTACCGACTCCTTCCTCCAAACTCGCATTGACAGACCGAGGCTGGTCACGTCGGCGATTCAAATCTGAGATCCAACAACCTTCAAAATCAATAGCTATTTGTTACAATCGATTTATCTCGGCCAGAGGAAGAAGGATAAAGGTGGTGGCTATGGTGGATGCAAGTGGGAAGAGATTGAAGAGGCAATAGAGAAGAGGGTATCGAGAGAGGGGTAAGAGAGAGAGAGAGACAGGAGTGAGTGGTGTAGAGAGAGAGAGAGAGAAGGAGAGTGGTGGATGCAAGTGGGAAGAGATTGAAGAGGCAAAAGAGAAGAGAGTATCGAGAAAGAGAGAGGGGTTAAGAGAGAGAGAGGAAAGAGAGAGAGAGAGAGAGAGAGACGGGAGTGAATGGTGTAGAGACAGAGAGATAGAGACAGAGGGGAGTGGTGAATCCCGGAAAAAACAAGTCTAAAAAAACACTTTTTGTGTTTTCAACAAATAAGCTTTGTTTTCAAATATTTTTGAGTTGTGGTTTTGAGAATTATATTCAAATCAAATACCAAACAAAAACTTAAATTTATGACTCAAAACTTGTTTTTGAGTTAAAAACATTGGATCTAATCAAATACCAAACATGCCCTAATTTTCTTTTAAGTATTTAAACAAATATACATTAAAAATTAAAATCTGAAAATTTTAACTATGACTTATAGCCCATATGAACAATTAAAATCTAGTGTCATGGATCCGACCCCCATATATATATATTCATGAACAATAAAAACCAATAAAGCAAAAGTAATATCTCATCTAACCACCAGTAGAAACCCTAGAAGAAATTGAGAGATAAGAGTGGTTCCAAGGGCTTATAGCTCAAGTGGTTAACATCATTTACCCTACATCAAAGTTTTAAGTTCGATTTCCCCCTAAAGCATCAATAACTTGTTGTACTGATTGAATTGTTACAATATCTTGAATTTAGGCTGGTCCAATATATAGTTTAACTAACATCAATGATTTTGCACTTGTTGGATTTGATAGACACGGTAACTTTTTCTCAAGATTTCTTGTTTGATATTAGGTTGTAATACCTCAGAGTTAATTTTATTGTTTTTTTACAATTTGTAAGCATGTACAATTTTGTTGATCATGCCCAGCGACACACAAGCGTGATGGGGAAAGAAGATAACATGTGGTACTTTTTCACACCAAGGGATAAAAAGTATTCGAAAGGGACACGTCTAGATCGAGCAGCAGGGAATGGATACTGGAAAGTTACTGGGGTAAAAAAAGATGTGATGTTAAAAAATGTTAAAGTTGGTTTTAAGACATCACTAGTTTTCTACGAGGGGAAGTCTCCCAATGGAAAGAAGTCTGACTGGTTGATGCATGAATTTAACGTTGAAGCTCCTCCCAAGAAGGCAGACAGAAATAACATTAGGGTTTGAATATATTTAGATATTTTTACTACTATTTCTTTGACAAGAGTAAAAGAGCTATTATTGTCACTTTACATTCGTCATGCATTCGAAATACAAGAGAAATTTTACTTAGAAAAAAGAGTGCATGGTGACCTTTTGGATTGGCAAAAACGGCAATCAAAATAAATTTGAGTTTAACTTCTTTGCTTGGAAAAATTTTGTGTTCCTCCTGTTGAGAATGAGTCCTACATTGATGGGAGAAGAGACATTGCATAGGCTTATAAGAGGTTGGGCTACTCCTCATATTGCCAATTGGTTTTAAGATGGAACCTCAGCTTTCTTCATGGTATCAGAGCAGGCTATTTTATGTGTGAAGCCAAACAACCACACGTGTTCCACTTCACCTCGTTGTGTTGTCCACGTGTTAGGCTTGAAAATTCGTCACAAGTGAAGGGGCTTTATGGTGGAACCTCAACTTTCTTCACCTCCCAACACTTAGGTTTGACGTAATATTTTCTCTCTTGCAGCTTGATGACTGGGTTTTGTGTAGGGTATATATGAAGCTTAACAAGGCTAAGAAATTGAAAGCTTCAAACCAAAGTCATGATGTTAATCAAGTTCAGGAATAACAAGACAATGGACATGATTATGATAGAGAAGATCTTTTTCCTCAAAAACCCGACGAGTATCCTCATCCTCCTCAAAACTCATATGATCATCCTCCTCAAAACTCATATGATCACACTCCTTTTCAAAACTCATATGATCATAGTACTCCTCCTCAAAATTCTAATCATCAATATCCTCTGTGGATGTAAATTTCCGCCTTCTTTTTCTTTGACAAAATTGCACCTACAAAACAATTAACACCTTAGGTCAAGGCCAAGAGCCTCACATACCCACGATGAATTGGGGGGGCTTTGGCCGAAGAACCTCCGATGCCAAAGTTAGAATTTAGAAAGAAAAATATTTGGAGAGTTTTTGGGAGTTTTGCAAGAGTATGGGAGGTGTCTTTTGGAGAAGAGAATAAGGCTTTTATAAGGGAGTGTGGCCGGTCCCCTTTGGAGAAAAGGTGGCCGGCCTTTAAGTGTTTTTTTGGGTGTTATTTGGTGATTCAATTAGCAATTAATATATTAATTAGGTATAAATATATTAATTGGCTAATTATCATAATAAAAGAAATGTTTTGGGAGGTTATGTCATGATTTCCTTGTAGAGGATATGGAGTAAAGATGGATGAGATAAATTTGAACTTGTTACCTATTTTGGGCACTCTTGACTCGGTTGATGGATGATTCTCCACTGCTCGCATGTAGGAAACGCAATGTGTCTCGAGGGCAATTTTGTCCTCTTCACCTAAAAATCCACGTGTCACCTCTTGATTATTTTTGGCTCCACAAATGCCCCCACACCTGCTGGGCTGCTCGTAGGAAAGGGTAGCAGGTGTAGAGATATTCTTGCTTTAGGATTGCTTCATATTTTGATGTAGATTCACTTTTTAATATGAAATTAGATCTTTCTAGGAAAGGGAAATAAATTTCTTTCAAAGCCTATTTAAGCACACCTTAAGTGGGTTGTTAAATCAACTTTGGAGAGCAATTTATTCTACCCTACAAGAGAGAGAAAGCTTAAAGAATATTTGTTCCCCATTCCCTAGCAATCTTCTACACTTGCTTGTGTAAAAGACCCTCTTTCATTGCTTTCTTCGTCTTCTTCGCGCCGCACCGATGTAAGGAAAGCTTAATTCTACTTGTCTTCTTCTTGGGAGGTGCTAATACGGGGCAGCCGTCGGGGTGGTACGGCACGTCGGCTAGCAAGGGCCAGAAGTCGACTTGTCATGGGCCAATGAGGAAGTGTGGCAGGGGCCATTGCTTGTTCTGCTTGGCTTGATTGAAGCCAAGGATTAGCTCGGCATAGGCCGAGGAAGTGGCGTGGCATGGGCAACAGTTTAGGCTGCCATGTCTGGGCTGTTTACCAAAAATGAGAAAACTGCTTGAGTTTGATTTCTCAGCTGCCGTAGATGGAGCAGTCAAGGATAAAGCTACCAAGATCGGAGCTGCTGAAGATGAAGTGTCGAATGAGTGAAATGTTAAGTGCAAAAGTGGCTGTTGCCCTCTGACCATTAGCTGCCTAGTTGATCTTCAAGCATTCGATCTTTTAAGCTATATCGCCTTCTCGCACTGGAAAGCTTACCCAGATGGGTGTCGGGGAATTAGTTTACCCTCTCGCACTGGAGAGTAAACCCATATGGGTGTCTAGGAATTGGTTTACCTTCTCGCACTGGAGAGCAATTAGTTTATCCTCTCGCACTGGATAGTAGACCCATATGGGTGTCGGGGAATTAGTTAGTTTAGAGCAATTAGTTTATCATCTCGCACTGGAGAGTAGACCCATATGGGTGTTGGGGAATTAGTTTACGCTCTCGCACTTGAGAGCAATTAGTTTATCCTCTCGCACTGGAGAGCAGACCCAGAAATGGTTTTTAGCAGTTGTTGTGGACAGCAGTTAAGCCAGGCTTATAAGTAACTTCTTGAATCTTCATTGAGAATAAATAAATAAATCAACTGTGCTTGAAGGTTTTGCATAACAAACTGGATAATCTTTGGCTTGTGAGGCCTTGTTCGTCGAGCTGCTTGAGACTTCGAACTTATTTGGAAAAGCCTAAACGGGGTTCAAGGGGTGATAGAGACTTCTTCTACTTGGGTAGGTTGTTTCGTTAACTTATCAAGATACTCATCCTATCGACCCTCATTTGTCAGCTTCTTAAGATACTGCTTCCACTTTAGGCAGTCGTTGGTAATGTGGCCTGGTCCTTAATGAAATACGCAATAATTTGTTTGATCTAGCCTGGTAAGATCACATTTCATGGGTGACGGCAATTCGAACCAAGGTTCATTCTTGAGCTTGCGGAGAATTTGGCCGATTGGAACTGTGAACTTGGTGAATGTTTCAGGCCCTGAGTCTTCTTTGGTCGATGAACGTTCCATGTGCTTCTTTTTCGACTCATTTTTGTTAGACTGGTTGGCCTCGTCCCATAATGCATGCTTTTCTGCCAAGCATACGAAGCTATTAAGGTCAGTTCTTCTCCCATGATTAGTTTTCCGAATAAAAGATGTTCGGTGGGAAGCCCATTTCTGAATGCTGCCATTGCTATGTCCTCATTGCAACCAACAATCTTGGCCTTCTCAGCTTTGAACCTCTTGACATAATCACGAATTGTCTCCCTAGGGTCTTTTATGATGCTGAAGAGATGGTCGGATGTCCTTTTGATTGAGCAGTTAGACGAATACTCCTTAATGAAAACAAAGGAAAGTTCGTTGAAACTACGGATTGACTGCGGTGGTAAAGTGTGAAACCAATCTTGCACTTCGCCTTGTAGAGTTATGGCAAAATTTTTGCACATAAGCGCATCGTTGTTCTTGTAAAGGATCATGGTACTGCAATAGTGCTTGAGATATCGATCCGGATCTTCGTCTCTCTTGTACGAAGTGAAGTGAGGCATAGTGAACCCGCGAGGTGGATCTGTCCGTTCGATCTCATTTGTGAATGGTGACCTGCTTATGTTGGTCATGTCTCGTCGAAGCGCATCATGAGCAAGCTCGTTACATTGGAAATTGCACAATCGTTTAGTTATGAGCCTCTCAACTTCTTCTTGAATTTGCTTCTGCTGGGGCAATGGAACTTTCGACTGCCCCCGGTCGTGATTTATGGGTTTGGGCCACTCTTCCCTATGATCGACTCATCTAGGTCACGGCTGTGGTGCATGTGGCATGTTCCTGGCAGGCAAACAAGCTACTCGCAGGCTGTCGTTTGAACTTGAGTCAGATTGAGTGACTGCTTCTCTCCGTTTACCGTGCTACCTACTCCAATGTGAGGTGGAGAATACTCTTTGCGAGCCTAGTTGTGAATGAACAATTCGCCTAGAAGGTTGTCCATATTGATAATCGAATTGTGACTTCAGCTGTGATCGTATGCTCGTCCATGGGCTTGATTAGGAATGCATGCTCATCCGCGTGCTAAGACGAGAGTATACGCTATCCCAAGGATCCAGGCAGGAGCGTAAACTGCCAGAACGCTCGGATCGTGGTTGGTTGATGAGCTGCTTGCCGGGACGCTGGTAGAGAGGTTCATCTGCTCTTGTCCTACTTCGGGGCACCTTGTCCGAGGCACGTTGGATCTCGGTGCGTTGCAAGAGTTGATTCACCAAGGTTGTCTGTTGTGCAAGGACACTCGTCAACTCTATGACTTGTCGAGACAAGTGTTGTTCACCATTTAGATTGGAAGAGCTTGGAATGAATGTACCTCCTTGAGCAATGGAAGTGTGGTAGGCTCCGAGCGCGAGATTTGAGTTGAGAAATGTCAAATCCGTGAAGAAATGTGGTGAAAATGCCCCCGACTTGATGGTAGGTCCGGATGGTTGAGATAGTCTTAGGCCGACTTAGGCTGCTTGGGAGGCCATAGGGGCAAGCTAGGTCGCGGGAGTAGGCTAGGCTGCGGAAGTAGGCTGGGCCACAGGAGTGGGCTGCTCGGTGGGAGCAGGTTGGGCCGCAGGAGTAGGTTGGGCCGCAGGAGCAGGCTGGATCACGGGAGTGGGCTACTCCGCGGGAGCAGGCTACTCAATGCGTGAAAAAAAAACTTGGAATTTGGGGCCACCAATTTCCAAGTTTAAATTCCATGTAAATAGGTGTTATTTCCCAATTTCTATGATTAGGAGGTTTTTTTTTTCCTCGAGATATGATTTGGAGTTTAAAATTAACAAATTTCATTTTCAATTCCATTGTTCTGTTAAGTTAACCAAACAACAAAATTCACAAATTGTAGAAAATAAAATCCCTTCATTTCAATTTCCGTCATTTTAAAATTTCTTAGTAATCTTAAATTTCTTCATCCAAACATAGTGTTATGGAATTTTCTAAATTTTTAGCCATTATATTTTTCTTATACGTTTTATTAAAGAACCTTTGCAAATAAAAAATTCTAATAATAAGAACGTATCTCCACATCCTCCTCAAAACCCTAATCATCAATCTTACTTAGTTTCTAACCAGGATGGATATAAAAACCCCATGTGTACGTAAGTTAGCCATCTGTATTTAAATTTAAATTTTGAATCTCCTATATCACTCATTTTTTGAGTTACCTACCAAATTATGTTTTTAACTTATGAGAGTGATTATTCATATTTGGAACAGGTTATGACAATTGTTTTGAAGCGGATCAACCAGCAATCCTCCCACCACAGAATGATCAACACTTTTATCTTCCATACCACAATTCTCAACAATTTGCTGGGTATCAACCTCACCAACAATTATGGGGTTGATAACTATAGGACAATGGTATGACGATTGGCTCGCGAAGCCATTGACTTACCCTATATAACTTATCATAGGTACTAAATATACTTTTTGGGACTTTAAAGTCTTAGTACCTATGTGTATATTTTTCTTGATTGGAATAGTGTTTTTAAATTCTTCAATCCTTTTAAGGAAAACTAATGAAAATGATTTTAAAACTTTGAGTTTTAACGATAAGGAAAAAATAAAGGGAAAAATGAATAGTACCAAAATTGACTTTTTAATGCAAAAATGTGATTTTTCATTAAAGTAAACAATATTATGAGCTTTTCGTTAAAGTTTCATTCCTTTTATTCTAAAAAGCTATTTATTGGACTGGGAATTTTCTATTTTTAATAACTATTTTTTAATGTTTTTCTAAATAAAAAAAATCTGTTGGCAACAATTTTATTTCCACTCTGAGCTTAACACTGAAAAATTCTTCCGTGACGATTTTGAAGACTTTCTTTTCTTATAAAACTTTGTTTGTATGTTTTCCACCTGCACTTCTCTCCCCTAATCTTAATGATGTCGCATGTTCAACCGATGAATGTTTTTGAAATGCTGTGATAAAAAGGTTGGCACATAATATGTTAGAGCATACTAGACATATAACTCGTGTCCTTTTCATTAAAATTAAAAATGGAAACTTTGGATGAGATATTTAGCTATCAATGTTCTTTTACTGAAATCTTGTTGGTTTTCAGTTTTTTATCGAAGTTCCTAACATTAATGAAATAATGTATTTCTACGTAAGCTACTATATTTTTAAATTAAAATTTGAAGTTTTTAGTTATTTGTTTGAGACTTTAAATAAAACCCATACTTTGTGGGACTAAAAATGTAAATTATACTCTCCAAGATGTTGTGTTTATATATATAGTACAATCATCAAAATTATAAAAAATTTACTGTACCAAAACATGGGTACATTCTTCAAACCCACAAAAAAAAATGTATATATATATATATATATATATATATATATATATATATATTAGGCTTAATAGAATTAGTAAATTTCTTTAATTAAACTTGACACGGATACATTCTCAAATCAACAAAAAAAAATGTACACATATAAGTTTAAAATGGATTAGAAAAAAAAAAAAAAAAAATATATATATATATATATATATATATTAGGTCTCGTGCTATAGGAGGTAGGCATATATATATATATATATATAAGGCATAGAGGATTCACTTCGCTGGACGATGTGGGATGTTACATTTTTAGTTAAAAGCAATGTTATTAAAAAATTTCAATCAAATGTTCAAAAGTTTTAATTTTATTTTTATAGAGTTACAAAAAAGAATAAAAGAATAAAAAAAATAAAAAAGTAGTCTAAACAAATGCTGCTAAATCTAAAAATGAAAAATTTAACTTAAATTATACAATAAATTACTCATAATAATTTAGAAAGTAAAATATCACAGCCAAACATGTCCTTTTAGGTACGTTGCCTTTTCTGAATTGACGCCACAAGCATATGGACGTAAAAAGGCCACGATGCCGTCTGGGCGGGCAGGCCCTTTTCATTGTTGATCTAATTTAAGCCCACAAATTGTATAATTTCTCTACTCCTCTCTCCCCTTCCGTTATTATCTGCGAACACAGTCGAAAAAAGAAAGAAAAACATGGGAAGCTTGAGAAGAAGCTTGATCAGCCTCCACCGAGCCCTCAAATCCACCGCTTCCATCTCTCCCGCCGAAACCCATCTCAGGTATTCCCTTCTTTCGTCGATTCCCTCTCTCATTTGCAATGGCTATTCGTAAAGGCGGTGGCTTTGTGTAGAGCGAGTTGGCTCTGATTTTTATTGGGGTGTGATTTCATTTTCCAGGCCTCAATTCGGATACGGTTTGGTTCAGCGTTCTTATTCCGCTAACAATGGCAGCAATCTGGATATCGACCTCTCCAACCAAGAGAGCAAAAGGCGGTTGGTCAACAGGTCACTAATTCTTCTGTAACCATTTCGTTTTCAGTTTTCTGTCGCGTAGTTACCTCTATACATAACCAAAAATTATTGGTTTTGTTGCTTCTGAGACAAGAATTGGTTTGGGTTGTGGAACAGATTGATATACAGGAGCAAGCAGAGAGGGTTTTTGGAGCTGGATTTGGTTCTGGGGAAGTGGGTGGAGGAGCATATACATTCCATGGATGAACGGGGAATTAAATCTCTTGTGGATGTCCTTGACCTGGTAAATTTCTTATCTCCACTTTGATCATTAAAATCTTCTGCTTTCGGTTCCCTTTGAATGCTTGATAGTTTATGCTGTGATTAGTAAAGAAAACACTGCCGAATTTGTTGCTTTTTCGTTGGAATTTAACTATTAAGTTCCTGATATATGCGAAATAGTTTAAACAGGCTTTCTGCTAAGACTCAAATCTTGTATGGTAACAGCCCTAATGCGAGTTGATGTTAATTGTCATCGTAGACTAACTGAAAGTGTTGCATAGGCAACACCAGCTCAGATGTGTTTGTTCATGGTCGTTCCCAGCATAAGTTAGCACTGTATTTAAGGTCATCCGTATTTAATGTCGGAATTATATTTGTTATCCATCTGAGCGTTTAACTGACATATAGGGATATGGTGCTTTCAAGAGTCTGGTGACCTGCACACTATTTGTATTGGCGCTAGCTTCTTCAGTTATTTAGAGCTTTCTTGTTCACTGTTTCTCAGTCAGTCTTGTGATGTATGTTGGCAATAAATAGTTGTTCCACTTGTGAATAGAAGAGGCTTTTCATTTTCGGTTGAGTTTTCAAGCACTTGAAATCAAATATTAAGAAACATAAAATGTTTTAAATCCCTGGATTTTCATCATCCAACAGTTGAAATAACAAAGATTTGGAGTGTGTAAGTAAATGCTATGTTTCCTGTTAACCTCGGAACGTAGCATTTAGAGCATGGTCAGTTCCCTATTCATGTACTTGATGTAAGCATGGATGGAGGCAAGATGTACGGTTTTTCTAGAATTGATACTACGCAAATTGCAAAGTCGAATGACAAGGGAGAAACTTTTGCTCGATTTTTCATTTGCCATTCTGATATCATTTTCCCATCTACAGGAAAATCCAGATCTGTGGAAGTGGTTAAGTGGCCAGGAGCAACCCCCCGAAGCACTCCAAACTAATCCTGTGAGAAATGATATCTGAACGTTCAAATTCCATTTGTTGCTATATTCTCCATAGACACCGTTTTCATTCAAATGATCTGTTTTTATAGGTTTTTACTGCAGTGCGCAACAAGATCATGAACAACCTGAACAGCTATGCTGCTCCCGAGACTCGAGCAACACCTGGCCAGCCATGGGTTAGAGGGTGGGATGATATAAAGAAAAGCCAGGGTGGCCCTTTAACCGGGAACCAGTAGCTCTTCCATCACCTTTTCAAGTTAAATTTCTCTGTAGTGTGTTGATTTGTGTAATCAGTTAGCGATGAAAAATGCCAATTAGAACTTGCAATGCCGAGTCTGAAATTAAACACCGGCGGATTCAATAAACCCGAGAGGTATGGTTCTCATTTTACAGTGTAACATATTGATAATATAGTCGATACACTTTGGCATGCGTTCCAGAATGAATGAAAGGAAATAAATTGTGTAATCAAATGGTGCAGTTATTAGAAAACTGAATTATTCTTTTGGTTCTTTGCTTCTGGAGGAGTTGTACCCTTCGAAATTTTCAAATAAAACCAGCCTAAACAACGTTCTTGTAACTAATAAGAATGGACTGTCGATATACCATCCATAATATAAATATCATTGTAGGTAAGAAAATGTACTAGTACAAAGTGCTTATAGCTCAGTTAGTTAAGAGCATTTAACTATGCATCCGAGGTTTTGAGTTTTATTTTTTACTCCCTATAGTATGTTATTGATGCCGGTGCATTATCGACAAAGAAATACTAAGGTTCTAAAAGACGAGCGGCGGGCTAGGGACACAGTGAAGATGCACAAAAGCAACAACTGATGAAAGGGAACAAAACATAACGGCACATAATGACTCAGATGTAACGAAACGCGGGTAAATGCATAAAGCCTAAATGTAGAGACTTAAGATCCTAACTTAATGGAGAAACTAATGAAAATTTTGATTTTGGGCTGGATTCCTAATAGATTTTACCACAAGGGTTTAAATTTTTTTTTTTACCACAAAGGTTATTTTCCGAATACTCTATTACCACGAAGACTATTTATTCAATTAGACCGTTAATGTTTTAGTAGTGTCAAATCGGAAGGATATTTTAGTAGGGTACCTCTTTCACAACAGTTGAGATTGAGAGTCCAAAAATATAACGTGCCAAACCATCTAGTAAGAGAACATATGTTGTATATATGACAAGTGGCCATGCATTTTTTGTTAAGGAATGTTCTTAAGTAGTGGTAATGTTCATCTTCTTATTTATTATCGGTAAATAAGTTTAAATTTTAATATTTGTATTCATTCACTATACAGATTTCGAAATTTTAATAATGATAAATAAGTGTTCTTCGTTACAATCACTAAAGGCCCGTGAGCAAATTTATTTCCCAAGATGAACCTTCTACGCCACTTTATCATGTCTTTGGACGGGAATGGTGACGGCAACGTGGCAATCATTGGTAAGCTCTTGAAACAAAGCCGACGGCCGATGTTAGCTTTACCACATCCAGATAAACGGTCTGGATGAACCGAACCGAAGCGATTCGACCCGACCCAACCCATTTGATCAATTTCCAATTCTATAATTTCACATTTCAATTTCAAATATTTTAGAAATAGAAAAAGGAAGGTGTTTTTAGGATTGTCTAGATTTGTGGGGTGTGGGTGAATTCAATCGAAATGGTACTAGTTGGAGCAGTAGCAGTAAACACACTGAGTGATTGAGATTGTAATCAAGGAAATGGTAATCGGGTCGGAGCCGGGTAGCGGCAGCTCCGATTCCGCAGGAGGATGGAGCGTGGCTCGCGGGCTGCTGGTGAAGACGCTGGTGATGATAGGCGGAGCTCTGCTGCTGAAGCGGCTCACCAAGTCCACCACCCGGTGGGACCACGCCCGCCTCGTTTCCCGTTCTCTCTCCGGCGAGAAGTTTTCCAAAGACCAAGCGGCCAGAGATCCTGACCACTACTTCAACATCAGGTGGGTCCCCAAAACCCAATTGGGCCACAATTCTTCGTTCCTTTCGTGTTCAATTCAATTGGGTTTTTTTGTTTGAAGGGTTTTGTGGTTTAATTTTACATGATTTCTTGATTTTCTTGCAGAATGGTAACTTGCCCAGCAGCTGAAATGGTAGATGGTTCTAATGTTTTGTACTTTGAGCAAGTAAGCTTATTGTTCCATGCAAGATTCTGTACTTTTTTTTTGCTGTAAAGTTTGGTTTTTTTTGGGTTGAATTTGAATTTGTGGGGTTTTGGTAGGCTTTTTGGAGGACTCCTCAGAAGCCGTTTCGACAAGTATGTTCATGCCTTCAAATGTCAATTCTTGGCCAACTTACTTGCCCATTGTTTTGTTCTTTTGAGTAATTGTTAGTGTTTCCTGGTTGCAGAGATTTTATATGGTGAAGCCTTGCCCGAAAGAATTGAAATGTGATGTTGAGGTGGGTGTATAATCCGTTTTGCAGTTTAGTTTGAAGAGCGTGTTAATGCTATGATAATCTGTATGTGAACTTCTCTTTTCAGAGAGTATTTACTAAGTAAATTGCTACTAGCTCTCTTTTACTTAATGCACTAGCATGAAACTAGAGTGTGCGAGATGTATCTTGGGATTCTGTGAGGTTCTAATATATTGAAATTTCTATTAATGAGCAGCTAAGCTCATATGCAATCAGAGATGCGGAGGAGTACAAGAATTTCTGTGATCGCTCAAAGGACCAGCGACCACTTCCTGAAGAAGTTATCGGGGTTAGTCTGTTCACATCAAAATCATAATCTTAGCTTGTCAATGCTTGCTTTTAGATTTTCTGGTATCAAACACGTTATTGTGGCTTACAAATGCAGTTTAATAGTTATCGTGTAGAACATACTAACTTTAGTTTATAGACAGCTTTCAACTTGCTAACTTCACCATGATATAACTTCTTTAGCATTGAACCTTTCAGAGAATTGATCTTATTTAAAAATGTAATCTAAGACGATCTTAGTGAAAACTTAGGAGTCATTACTAGAGACCGTTGATATTATAACCTTGCCTGTGAGGCTTCAGGCACAAGCTTGTGAGTAAGCACTTAAAGAATGCTTTGGAGTTGCTACTTCATCCGGGAATTAGATAGTCCGATATTTAACCATTTGAAAACATTTATGGATATGATTTTGATGTTTTTATTCAAACTTCTGTCTGTCTGCAGGACATTGCAGAGCATTTGACAACAATACATCTGAAACGTTGTGAGCGTGGGAAACGCTGCTTATATGAAGGTTCAACTCCGCCTGACAGCTTTCCTAATTTATGGGTAATTCTTTTAGTCTTGGTCACTTTTTCCTTTTGTTAAGACCTTGTTACGAGTCCATGGATAACAGTTGGTTACTTGATAGTTGAAACTGCTATGAATCAAATGACTGTTATTCAGTGATATATTGTTTTTCCCCGTTTGTTACAGAATGGAGCAGCGTACTGTACTTCGGAACTTGCAATTCATAAAAATAATGAGATCCATGCCTGGGATAGGGGATTTGATGGTGATGGAAATCAGGTCAGTTTATCCTCTTAGTCGGTCGCTCTATAATCCCCTTACTGGATGCTGTAATGTGGTAGTTTTCCCGGGAGTAAGTCAAAGTGCTTTGTATTGTTACAGGTTTGGGGTCCAAAGGAAGGTCCGTACGAATTCAAGCCTGCCCCGGCCTCTAGTACCAACGACATGTTCTCTTCTTTAAATTTTCCCATTCAGCAGTCTATGGAGAAAAGAATAGAGGGTTCTTTTGTTTTACAGGAATAATCACTTGATACCTGTAACCATCCTATGTAAATGCTCAAAATTTTTGTAGCTCAACTCTATTAATGGTATTTCGTATCGGCTTGCATCTTTCTCGCGCTCTTCTCGTTTAGTGAATATCGTAGTTTAGGTTTCAGGCGAAATTTTGTTATCTGCCACTGTGCCGGTGTATGAAAACCCTTCTAGTAAATGCAGACGTTGCTTACATGTTGAGGAATACATCCATAAGTGTTGGCGGTGCGATTGCATATTTATTTGATGAGTTCTTACTGCATTCGATATTTGAAGGAATTCACGGCTGTGCTACTATTAATTCCCATTAGTTCATCCTACTTTCCGGAGACAACAATTTTTTGCGTAGATCCTCTTTGTTCTTACTGTGCATTCAATTGCGGACGCGACGGAAGTAAACTTCAACAGAAAGATCTGTTCAACGAATTGAATGAAATTATACAAATGATCGTGTTCAATACATTTGAGGTTACAGATTCTGCTACTTTGATCTATCCCTGAAAGCCGACGTTGATGTAGAAGAATAATCCAACAAGTGCCACAACTCCGACAACGATAGTAATAGGCAGTGCCTTCCCGATTGCTTCTTCTCTCTGCAACTGCGCTTTTCGTTCCTTCCGGACATCCTTCTTGTTGGCGTCTTTGGTCACAGGAGGCTGGTATGCCCTAAACCTCCGTTTCGGAGCACCACAAACTGCAAACCACAGATTACTTACGTGAGTTAAATTATAGTAACCACATTTGTACACATGAAAAGCTTTGAAATTGGACGGTGAAAATGTAGGTCGTGTAAAAAATGAAGTGCTTAATTTTTACCAGGGCAGAAATACTTGTCAGGTAACTTCTCAAAGGGAGTTCTGTCGTTGTATATATACCTGCATCATCGTGACGATCAAGATTAAAGAACAGCAAAAAAAAACCCAAATTCGATTCTCGCTCCCCATAGATTAGAATGGTTAGAATATCGCCATGTCAAGAATAACAAGTGTAATAATATGGTACCCGCAATCGCGACAAATATAGGCTCCTTTGGAAGCGACGCGCATGGAGAACTTGGGTGCAGAGGATGAAGCAAGAGGCTTTTGCTTGGGAGAAAGCAATAAGAGGTGGTGTGATGAAGAAAAGAAGGATGACTTTAGAGCGAAGCTATCGGATGGTTGTCGGAGGCCGGCATTGCCCTTCGGAGCTGCTAACGGAGATGGTGGCGCTAGGCGGTTTCTTGTGGTGGGTGCCTGCAGTTGCAGGGCCATGTTGTAGGATAGTTGGAGCTACAGGGAAGCGAGTGAAACTGTAGAGTTGAAGGAGTGAGAGGAAGATATGAAGAGGATAAGAGAGCGTGGTGGGAACGAAAAAGGTGAATTGGAATTGTGCGAGTCTCGTTGGGTGTCGCGTGGCCTTGGTAATCCCCACATACCAAACACTTACTATAAGGAAAGAGATCATCTCCAGATTGCTTCTATCAAGTTCACCGGATTAAGTTATTCGAACCTTCTAAATTTTATCTAACGGTCGACCTGTTTTGATCTCTTAAAAGCATGATAATTTTGACCGTTGGATGAAATTTAAAAGACCCGAATCACTTAATCCAATGGTCTTGGTGGAAAAGATCCGGAGATGATCTATTTCCCTTACTACAAGTTACAACAAGCAGCACCCTCTCGACTCTTCTAATTTATTTATTTATTATTA